CCGTCTTCGGCTGGGTGATGACCTGTCGACTGCCCGAGGGCACAGCGTCCACCACAGCGGTGGCGCCGGAGGTCACCAGGCCGGCCGTCAGCAGAGTGTACAGGGCCAGCCGGCCGGGCAGTGGTTGGCACCCCATGGCGGACCGCCTAGGACTGACGTCAGGTGTGCTGGGGAACAGATGGACTAGTCAGCGTGCACACATCGGGCTGCTTCGGACTGAGGCTGGGTACACCGGACACAAAGCGGAGGTCACTGCGGACCCCTCAGGCTTGAATAGGGCAAACTAGCGACAGAGGGGCTTGTTAGCATCAGGCTACTACGACAGTGCCTACCGGCGCTGGGTACAATAGGAGCAGCCTGAATATCCGTACGTACACCCCAAGTCACCTCAGACTGGTCCCCGAATGTCATTTGGACGTATGGGTGGCTGATACCCATCCTTGAATCGAGCCGGATTGGTCCGCTGGGAACAGACGGGAGGATCATAACTGCGTGATATTCAGCCTTACTTGGAAGACTAGGGCCAGATTTTCTGGGAGCATACGAGGACGAGGGTCAATATGTGCCTCCTCAGTCTTGTTCATGACTGTCAGAGGGGCGCTGTGGACAGGCTGTAGGTTAACATAACTTATAGCCATGAACGGAGACATCCTCAAGCTGACGCTGGAACGCGGGGAACAAACAGGCAGGCAGACAGGCAGACAGGCAGGGGCTTACCATCTCAGATTCGTCGAGGAATGTTTGCATATGCACGTACACGTGAATCGATTTTCTTGTAAGACGACCATGGTTGAGCTACCCAGCACGCTAACAGGAAGTGGTCGGTCCCTTTTATGAAGACCTGCTGCACAAAAAGCTTTTTTACGGCATTAATATTGCAGGCTGAAAGTTTGTGTACACCCCTGTCCTCGACATCTTATCTTCAAAATAAAATGTGTCATTAAAAGATAATCTCCATACCAAAGAAAATGGGTTCCTGCTATAAAATCACTCCAGTGAGGTCACTAGCTTCTCATGCGCCGCCACACAATGTCTCAGATTGCTGAAGGTACGCTAAAATATTGGCTATGCATGTCTCAGGCATCATCATCGCCTGAACCGTGAGTGAAAGGGGTTGGTTTGTTGCTTTTATTGGACTTATTCACGAAAGTAATTTTCTTCCCACGCTCATTACTTGATAATAAGAACGACGTCTGTCAAAACAAAATGTATTACACCTTGTACTTGGCAGAGCCAAGCATTTGGTAGGATCTAGTGAAGATTGATGAGATGGATGGCAGGATCTACAGTTATAACCGTAGCATTCCTTTAGAAAATGGCGGCAAGGGTTTGTGCTGCATAGCTGTCAAAACAAACATATCCCAAGGTAGAGTTTGGAAACCATTCAAATTTTTGGCCAACTTGGTGAGACCGTTCCCAGACCTGCCACGTCGTATTGTCCAACCACCAACCATTCTGCGTTAGGACTCTGAACTCGAACCCGGCCGTACACCGGCCAGCTCGCAGTACGCGATCTACCCACGACCTGACACTCAAAACGTACAACGTGCACCTAATTCGTCCGTACACCGGCCAGCTCGCAGTACACGATCCATCCACGACCTGGCACTCAAAACGTACAACGTTACACCTAATTCGTCCGTACACCGGCCAGCTCGCAGTAGACGATCTATGCACGACCTGGCATTCAAAACGTACAACGTTGCACCTAATCCGTCCATACTCCGGCCAGCTCGCAGTGCACGATCTATCCACGACATGACACACTCAAAACGTACAATGTTACACCTAATCCGTCCGTACACCGGCCAGCTCTCAGTACACGATCTATCCACGACCTGACACACTCAAAACGTACAGCGTGCTCCTAATGCGTCCGCAAAAACAAACACAGCAAAACCACGCAACGACCGCAAGCCTCCCCAGAGGAGCACTCCTCGCGAGCTGCCGGCACCTCTGCGGTTGGCGCCCAATCTAGGGAGCTCTCTTACCTGCGCGCCGTCCGCTGGGTGACCGCGTTCGAGTCCCGGCTCTGCGCGCTGGGACCCTCGGCGCCGCCCCGCCCCGTCGCGGCGCGCCGGGCCGGGCCGGACCGGACCGGACCGGACCGGACCGACGCCCCTACAGGCCGTAACGGGCCGGCGGCCGGCAGGCCCGCACGCACTCATCATGGGATCGGTCACAAGAAGTGTAGCGGCCGCGGCCGCCGCAAACCGGTCCGATTTCGGTGCGGGTCAAAGTCCTACGCCACTAATTTCGGGGCCTTCCTGTCGGGTACAGGAGGCGGTTAGGGTGCGCCTCGGGATGGGACATGACCTAGACAAGAAAGCTTGTCTGGAGGTGCCGCTCATGACCTGCGTCGGCCGGCACCGTTTACCAGCACTCGGAGCAGAGTGCAGCGACGGAATCGTAGATAAATGGTAGTCTATTTTAATGTTCAGGCTCTATTGGGACTTGGGAGGGATACAACTATATGTGACAAGAAACTCGAAGTTGGTGCGCATGTAGTTCCAGTTTGCATCAATTCGAAAAGTAATTGAATGCATGTATACCCATTGCCAACGGTTTTTCATTTCCAATGAAACCAGCCTGGAAACATATTCCGAAATAGCTCATTATTTTACCAGTTTGGTGCAAAATGCTCTATACACATTGTAGAGGCCTGACTAGTGGTTCAAACTTCGTCATATAGCTGTTCGTAAACAGGCTTCTGTCCCAAACTTTGTTTGGCTTCTCATGTATAGTCAGTCTAAGGTACGCGAGTCGACGGCACACAGACGTTTTAACCTTTCCCGAGCGATACCCTCCCTATTTACCGCTGTTCAGAGAGCAGGCGCTTAAATATCTCGTCAGATTCGCACCAATGCTTTCTGGGCAGTGGCAATTGCAAAAAGGTCACCCCTGGGTGTTGGTAAAAGCGTCTGTGTCCCTGACTCCCTTCTTTGAGTAGTGACACAGCCGTCGCTCGAGTCCGCTGTCCGCGTGCAACGGACCAAGGGCACTGGGTAACCAGCCAGCCAATGCCCTAGCTACATAGGGCAACCTATTCTGATACTGTCATTGGGCTTCATGACATGTAAGCTATGCTCCCCCCCCCCCACACACACACAAACGCACAAATAGTTCATATATAGCTTTGAAAATAAACCCACAATTGGCATGTGGCTGGCTCATTTAATTGAACGGACAGAAGAACACGTGCGCTGTGGTGGGCCGCAAATTAAGCGCCTTGTATTGAAGTTGGTGAGTCAAAGCGCTCATTCACAAGGTGGCAATTGACGAATAACCAGCTTTGGGTCCACTTCTCCCACCTCAGCTTGCATTCCAGCGCCAATTCTGCTTAGACCCTCCAATCAGGGGCATAGCTCAAGATGACCATGCTATCATTCGGGATCGGGTAAAGCTGGTCTGCTAGGGATGGGACTATTTTGTGGCAAAGTGAAGCCCTTTGTGCTCATTTCGATTACCGGGTTATACCAGCCACCATGGTTGCGGAGAGGTATATTTACCATTTTCGTATGGGTTGGGTATGAATGACCGCAGCAGTATTGAACGTTTTTGATTGACGAAGCGGAAGGCAAGCCATTCAACGAGAAGTGCGTGGTTGAAAGTTTGAACACGTGTGTCTCTACACCACGCGATTAGTCGCTGGTATAACACCTGTCTGAATGCACAACTTTGCGACAAAGTGAGCATGCAAATAAGTGATTTTTCCCAATGCCAAATTGCCTTTCGGGGAGAGTCACTGTGCTAAACGCTTTAGCATTACGTTCATGGTGGCGAGTAGGGCGTCCAATGGCATTCCTCCCGTCGGGGTGGCTGCTTTGAATAAAATTGTATGCCTCGCATGAGATTTTGAGAAAGATGGCCTTACCGATCAAATCGAACGCGTCCAATCTGTGTATGAAAAGTAAAGTAGTGGCATTCACCCTTCCAACAAGAACTACGCACCCAAATGGGCATTCACTGCAACATGAGATCAGCTTAATTGATTCACTAGGATCTTGTAGGGTTTGCTCTCAAGGTTAGTCAGCTCAGTCAACTTGACTGCTGGTTCAAATTTTGGCAAGGATGTGGGCACCACAGCCACTTAACGAAGTCGGAGCAATGGAATCTTGAACGTCTAGAATCAATATGCCTATGTCAGACGTCCCTTGTACGTACGTTCAAATTGGATGCTCTTAGTTTCTTATTCCACGATGATGTTCTTAGCTTATTTATCAAGAAACGATAAGTATTCCCGAGGAGACTCAAACAGTTTGCAGCAATACTTTCAAACAGGTTTTAAGTGGTTGGTACGATACCTGCCGGTTGGCACAATATCTGCCGGCTGGGGGGGATATCTGCTGGTTGGCGGGATATCCGCCGGTTGGCACAATATCTGCCGGTTAGCGCGATATCGGCCGGTTGGCACAATATCTGCCGGTTGGCGCGATGTCTGCCGGTTGGCGCAATATCTGCCGCTTGGTGCGATATCTGCCGGTTGGCGCGATATCTGCGGGTTGGCGCGATATCCTCCGGTTGGCACAATATCTGCCGGTTGGCGCCATATCTGCCGGTTGGCGCGATATCCGCCGGTTGGCACAATATCTGCCGGTTGGCGCGATATCTACCGGTTGGCACAATATCTGCCGGTTGGCGCGATGTCTGCCGGTTGGCGCGATATCTGCCGGTTGGCGCGATATCTGCCGGTTGGCACAATATCTGCCGGTTGGCGGGATACCTGCCGGCCGTCTCGATCCGGTCTGAAGGCGATCGCGTCATCCACCGTATGAACCGCTTATTTCCAGCTTCGGCCTCTTTCTCAAACTGGACCATAGCCCCAAATCTAAAAATTATCCAGGCTGCTGGCGTAATGAGGGGCTGCGTGCCCGCCGCCAGCCTTGGAGTGCCGTTAATGGAGAGTCCGCCGCCGGCGCCGGGCATATACCGGTGGGCCGGCCAGGCCGGCGCAGACGAGTCTCGGACTGGGGCTGGGCAGGAGCGGGAGCTGGCGCCGAGACCGACCGCGACACACGTGAGTCCACAGCGCGATCAGCGCAGGCGGGCAGCACGGACAGGACGCCCGCCTGGCTGAATTGATCGAGTGCTAAAGTTTGACCTGGCGTCTGGTATCTGCCATGGCCTATGTTTATATCTGTCATGCCATGTCTTCCCCCGCCTGACTTGCCACCAATACGTCAAAGAAGTCATCAGCTCTTGTTGTTGGATTTTTGGAGGCCCGATTTGGGGATGATATTTGTGGCAAATAGATGCGAATTAATCTTACGTAAAGGTGACAAAGTAAGTGTCTTAGATATGATGACAGATACAAGCGCAGTACAGTCTGACGATGGGCTTTCGTCGGTTCCTTGAACTGTGACGAAACAATTGCATACAAATATCCAGTGCTGATTAGGTACTATACTCATTTTACATAAAACATTAAATGACTCGCCAGCACAAAAGACCATACCGACATTGCTAGTGCGCACTGGCCTATGCGGCCCAGAGTCGGTATGCGTCTGACAGTTTGCACCATTAGCCGATAAATACAACGGCAGCATTGTCTCATGCCCAAACTGTAGCTCCATAAGCACAAGCTGTGATTTGGCACCAATTGTCAACCCTTCACCTCTAATGTATGTTACCCCAATAATTCACATATGGTCTGGTTTATACATACATACATACATATATATATATATATATATATATATATATATATATATATATATATATGGCTGTATGTCACAGCAAGTTCCGTGTTTATGACGTTTCTCGTGGTTTGCTGAAGGCTTCGTATGGTGTGTTTGTCGTTTTCGGTGCGTCGATACAGAATGTTAGCAAAGTTCATCTATTTCCTTGGTCTTATTCTATTGTCGAGCAAATGTCATGCACCCAAGAAAAGCCTATGAGGTTGTGAATTCCAAATTTTCCCCACATTTTGACAACAATCTGGTGGTTTTGTCAGCTACTAGACCCAGATAAGTTCCGCACAGATAGGTCCCTTTACAGATGCGCATTAACGTCGGCCAACTGCGGCATGACAGCACACGACAAACCGTCGTCACGCATCAAACCCATAGGAGTGCGCGGACCTTTACCAAGCCGGCACGGCCCGCCATTCGTTCTGGTATGAAGGCTGCCGTGTCTCCCGCCCTGCTGCCACCGTACCGGCGGTTCTTGGCGAGACGTGGCGGGGCGATGACCCCTGACAGATTCCACATGGGGCTCAAACGCTGGCCAGCGCCAAGTGCTCGCCTGCTGCCGCCGGTCGGGCAGGTCTTTGATCGCGGAGGTCATGACCCGCATACCTGGCCGTAACGGTAGAGAGGGAACAAACCGAAATCAGACACCTGGCAATGTGCGTAAAATGTGAGATTTAACGTGCCATGACAAGTAAAATCGGGAGGCATTGTTGAATGAGATTAACACAATTGTAAAAAAGAGTATTCCAAGACTTTGCGCGTCTGAGACGCTGATTTTCGAGGCACCTCACCTCGTTATCAGCCATTGGGAGCTTCCATCATTAGTTCAGGTACGACGGTGGCTCGCGCTAACGGACCGGCAAGGGTGGTGGTTGGCGAAGCTTTTCGTAAATACTTTAGAAGGAATCAAGTGGCAGGGTGAACATAGATGTTTTGTTCAACAAGAAATACAAGAATGGCCTTTCTTGGATGGGATGGTCTTGTTTTTTGACAGTAACTAAACCATTTCCACCTTCCCTTCCCCAGCATATCTGACGTCAGTCCAAGGTAGCCCAAGGCAAACATACTGACCATCTCTCCTACCCCCAGCACACCTGACGTCAGTCCTAGGCGGTCCGCCATGGGGTGCCAACCACTGCCCGGCCGGCTGGCCCTGTACACTCTGCTGACGGCCGGCCTGGTGACCTCCGGCGCCGCCGCTGTGGTGGACGCTGTGCCCTCGGGCAGTCACCAGGTCATCACCCAGCCGAAGACGGCGCCGTCGGCGGGAGGACACGAGCCACTCAGCTGCTTCACGTGAGTGATCGTGTAGAACACGCCCTTAGGCACTGGTGGTCTGGGGCTGCATAGGACATTATCACCATCGTCTTTGTTTGAGCTGTTAATACAACATTTACCAAACTCTGCTGTTACCTAGCATTTCGTCACAGAAGTATCAGTTTTAGCTTATTTTAGTCACTTCCGTGGCTACAAGCATCACCATCCCAACGCGTCCCTTGAAGTCTTCTATGAAGGGCGTGTCTTACAGCTTTATCCAGCGCTGTTTTGGTGGGTCTTTACATGTTCTGGACAGGCACACAGCTGATGTTCCGCTCCATCTTTGGCTTAGCATGCCTGACCAGCGGTCCTTTATCAGAGACCGGTCTTCGGCCGACCAGCGGACCTTCACGGAGGCGGAGAAGGCTATGTTCCGCTACCTCTACGACTGGCCCGAGAAGCCCACCAGCACCTGCAAACGGATGGTGACGTTCGGAGGCCTGGCCAGCGGCGTCGGCTGTCTGGAGGACGGAGACAAGTACGCCTGTCTAGACGAACCATTGCAGCTGGCTACGACGGATGACTGCCTGGTCTACTCTGTCGGCATCAACTACGACTGGAGCTTCGACGAGGCCATGGAGCGGTTCGGCTGCGAGGTGCACTCGTTTGACCCCACCATTGACTATCCCGAGGGTCCACGCTCCCCGGGCATCACGTTCCACCACATCGGCATCGGAAGGAACAACCACACCAACGTGTACGGCTGGAGGATCCACACACTAGACCAGATTATGAAGATGCTGGGTCACGAAAATCGCACTATCCACTACCTCAAGATCGACGCCGAAGGTGGCGAATTTGACATGCTGGCGCAGCAGCTGTTGGACGGCGATGGCGACTTCGTGCTGGATAAGGTGGAGCAGATCGGCTTCGAGATTCACTACCGTTTGGACCCGAGGCCGGAGATGGACTTTTACCGCTGGGCCAACAGCACGGTTCACCACCTGCACGATCTAGGCTTCAACGTAGTCAAGTGGGAGTACAACAAGGTGGTGTGGCAGCGGTACATGTTCCCGGGCGTGGAGCGGCCCGTCAGCCTGCTGTACGAGATCCTGCTGGTCAAGAACGGACCGGACACCTGGGACAGGTCAACCCGAGGTCAGAAGCCGGAGACGGAAGAAGCCAAGCAGCAGGCGGAGCAGGAAAATGTCGTACAGACGTGAGATAGCAAGCAGATCCTGTCCAATTGTTTTCAGTACAGGGATGAGAAAGACGTTTACAAATAGTGCAGTTTGCTTGTTGTGTTCAGAAGTTGTGTAAGGGCGCCTCTGCAAATCAGCCAAGGTTACATGGGCATCTAGTGTCATGAGACATACATGGTGAGGAGTATATACGTGAATATAATCGAATGCCTGGTACTCGTACCGGTACCAACATGCTCCCATTATTGTTACGTATAAACGAATACAGTTTTGTACCATGTGGGCAAGATGCGACCAATATCTGCGACTCCGGTGTCCGCGCAAAGGCTTCTTAACCGCCGTTCAGCACTATTTCCCAGTGTGGTCGCTCGATCTGGTCCTGTGATGGGCAGGGCGGAAAGGTTTACCAGCTGGTGTGAATCTAATGTGTAGTGAACGGGTCGAATAGGTCCCCGTCGTACGACATTATACTAATTAACCATAATTCTGTAGCGTGTTGTGTAGCCAATCGAACTCGTGCAGCACCACTGCGTAGACACCTCGGGTTTTGTTTTGGTCTGCTGGGCATACACACACCTCCATTTCCATTATAAAACAGAAATTTCCACGCGACCCCGACAGAAAACAAACCATACGGGCCTAGCTGTGGTCATCGGCCCCCGCAGCTACGCGCCGAGGCCCGGCACATAACGGCGTCCGTAGGCCGAATGGCCCGCCCAGGCTGTAGGCAGCTGACCCGGGGCGTGACGGGAGAGCAGCACTTCACCGAAGTGAGACGCTAGTTTTTGTTTCACTTATGAAACCAAATGCCCGAAGAAACTGTTCCAAAAGTGTCGTACAGTCATGGGAAAAGAAAGGGTTTAATCGGAGCCCTCGTCGATCTGTTATGAATCGGTGGTTCCGATTCATAACAGGTCGAAGAATATTATGATGACAGATCTACGGCTACGTGACCTTTTAGATGAATCGTGGTTTTCTACGCTCAAAGGAAAATTAGAAGTTCTTTATTTCAGGCTTCAGTGACAAGTGGCTGCTGTGACTGAAGATGTGACTGGTGACAATGAAGATGACTATTAAGCATTGATTCACAGCTCACCGTTTTCTACACACAAAAAAACTGTGTTCTGGTTCCCAAAGATTCCTTCACCAAATTAAAGCCCTAAATCCTGGTTCTCACAGGTTCTTTCAGCAAAACAATCCCTCGATTCTGGCTCTCACCTGTTCTTTTGGCGAGACGACACCCTACATGCCCGTTCCCATTGCCGTTTTAGGAGACTATGGGGCTGGCTCCTGGTTCTTGTGGGCTCTTTCAAAAACATTAGATTGTGGATATTGGTTTTCTTTGTTCGCAATCGCACGCCCCTGATGTCTGGCTCCTAGCCACACTCTCACACAAATCACACTGGATCACGTATAAATATTTACTCTTATAATGATTTAAACTCAAAGAACACAGGCCAGTTAAACAGTCGGAAAGCCCTGATACCACTCTAACTAATACATATATGCCGTCAGATGAAAAGCATTGTCTCCAACTTACAAGGAAGTACGTGGTAGCCAAAGCTATCTGCTCACCATTCCATAATAGCAGTGGTGCCCATCTCTGTGTACTGGCGCTGTCTCAGTATCGCAACATTAATTCTTCTTCGACTTGATTTACGTCCAAAATTTGTTTTTGAAGGCCACGACTAGTATGACTCTCAAGTAACTGACTATAACTCTTTTATAGGTAATCAATACAAAGCGGATTATCTATGTGGAGGAACACAAATTGGGAGGAAGGAGTTTGTCATACTTTTAGCCCTCCTCCCTCGTCCAATCATTACGCAAAATGACACTGCTACTGAATATTAACGTACAATTTCAAAATCCCAAACCTAACTCAATTATTCAGGTATAATTTTATGCCAGTGTTTATTGTGGCAACTGGTATTATAGCACGCTTTTTGGTGTAGACAAACATTGATTTGTACGATAAGAGTGCATTGCAAATGTAGCTTTGATTTTGTGCTCACAGAAACACACTTCACCCAAAACTCGGTAGATTTCATCTCAGTGATGGAGCTAACACGGGCATCAAAGTACTTACAATGTGTATGCGTTTTTTTCCTTTCACCGTATATAAAACGCGCCTAAAATAAACTGGATAGGTTCCCAAATTGCATAAGTTGTTCAGTGTATCAGCGAGGAACATTATTCGTATAGGCAAAACAGTAGTATTAGCCTTATTCCTCGGAGAAAAGCCAGAAAATGGAAACATAGTTAAGTTGATATTTCGGCAAGATGCCTTTATCGAAGTGAATTCATTCTCTTGGTTTTTCTTCGGGAAATAAGGCTAATACTACTGTCTTAATAATGTTATATCAATGCTGATACTACTGTACTAAATATAAGAATGATAATGCTAAATATAAATGTTAGTACTATTGTCTATTGTCTAAGCTCCCAAGTTGCATCAATTTTAGCGCGCGCCAATGTTGCGGTTATTGGAGTCTCAAAAATCCTGAGAGGGATGCAGTCCAAAACATGCTTTTCCATTTTTGGTCTGACAGTGGCGCAGGAACTGGGGGAGCCGCGTGAGGCTGAGACACCCAACTTTGTAAAAGTTCATCACTGGCCCCTTCAGCGTTGACTTGAAAGAATTCACCAACGATGGCTATTGACCGTCGTACTGAAAGAGCTTTCCTTGCCCCCGCGGTGTAATGTCAACAAAACATAAATACCTTCGGAACCTGTAGATTTTACGCTCATGCTCTCCTTCATTGCAAACGTGGCAAGTTCTTACGAAATGGTACCATTCGTCATGATATCAAACAGAGTTTATGTTCGCGTTTTAGGAACAGACATTTGACCACATCATAAATGAGATGCATGGAAGAGCCAGGGTGGTGCCGCCAGCCTGGATCAAAACCGTGTGGGGTCAGCTGATTTTGGTCTTGATGACCTGGATGATGATCTCGCTGATGAGCTGATTTCGGGTCAGCTGAACATCAGCGACCTTTTTCTTAGAACAGGTACCTAGGTCCAAGATAGTTACATGAGGAGGCCTGAGGACGCGTTGGCCACCGATGTGGAGTTTGACCTTGTTTGATCATGTGTGATATGTGTGTCATTACCATGGGGCCTCAAGATGTGACACGGGCTAGTTCACATACGGGCCTACCGAAAAGACCAACCTTGCAAGTTTGGCGTCTCTAGTTATCTTCGTTTTTCAAATATCAGCAGGGTGAAATTCCTTCCTCCCCCCTCCCCCCCTTCCCCACCCGAGCTTGCAGTGTCCAGCCGGCCATCTGGCCGCGTGTTTAGAAAATTTGATGGTTAAATTTTACCTCCGTAAATATTTTCAGAGGAAATCCTGATGGTGGAACACGAAACGCTCCGTGATTATTATGGTGGCAGCACTAGCGGGAAGTGTGTAGTGTGACTGTCGGCCGCATCGTGACGCCACCGTCGCTTGTGCGTAGCGTGGGGCTCGGATGACTGAAATCGTTGGTAATTGCCTTGCCTTTTCAAGTCGTTTAATTGGTTCGGAAGTAGCGAAGGCCTTCCAGATTGAATTCATCTGGACCTTCAGTTAAACCAGGTTCGGTGACTAATAGCCATAGATTAAGGGTAGGACCTAGAAAGACAGGATTGACTTTGAGATCTTTTGAGCCTCTTGCGGTGTTTGACAACAGACAGGGTCAACACTACCCAGTTGAATTGATGTAAAAAGTATTGGCTAATTACCGAAGTATGAAAATCTACTCGCACCGCGTGCAAATTTGATTAAGGCGTAAGCGAAGCGGATCTGAATCTTAAAAAATTAGTGTGCAAGCGGAAAAGCATGATTATAAAGTTGAATGTAGTAAAACAACTGCCAAATAACGCATAGGATTCCCATATCAACTCCGACAAGATTTGGCCATGGACACGTGTCACATTTATCCTTTACCATGCGGTGTCCAAGCTGTGCCTCAAAAAGTGGCTGAAGCGAAAGCCTAAACCTATTTTGGGCCCTACGAAAACTGGGCGACCTTGCTTCAGATTGATGTCTATTTTGTGACAACTTACACAAACGTAAGGTTGAAAACGCATATTTTCTTTTCTAAGCGGTTTCAATATGTTCTCACAACTCTTGCGCATACCTATTAAAGGGAGTATAACACCTTTTTGTACGTAACCACTTATGGTTACATCAGATGCGTACGTGTGATGCCAGTATCCGTACTGGCATCACGATTTACTGTTGTGGCAGTAAATCTTGCTGGCATCACAATTTCATCGGTGATACCATTTTTTCGAAATCCTTCTGATCAACTCAGATTTGCCATTTGAAGTAGCCGCTCCTGTAATCTCATTCGGCTCCCCGTCCAAATCTCATTCGACTCCCTGATCACCTTTGTGAAAGCAATACAATTTTGTTTCTCTTTTTTCAGCTTCCGTGTTTTTCATTGTTTGGAACACACTAAGGCGTCAAAACGTTTGTGTAATAAATTCTGCAAAAGCTTCAAACACTCTTTTAGACCAGAATATAGGCAAATGTGACGCTATTATCCCGCGACTTTAAAGAACGTTATTCCATGGCCTTGGTTTCTTCGCTATGGCGTTAACTACAGCGGCTCTATTCGAGACGCACTTTGGCTTTGGGCATGCAAGCATCACATGGTCCATAGTGACGCACCGGTTCAAACTTCAGCCAGTGCACGTCTTAGTAGCAGGCCCTTGCCACCCGCTGGGCCAATCATAAGCGTTCTTTTATTCGCATCCGTATAGGTGCGCTCGACAGTTGTCATGATGACGTGCCGCAACTGCGGAGAAGAAGCGCAGTGTTGTTAGAATGCTTTGACAGCATATTTTGGACTAAAATGTGATCAAAGCTGATATCCATATTAGGTGTTGTTGGAGCTGCAATGACACTGCCCAGTGCTATTATTAAACTAACTGGTCCTGAGGTTCCACTAGAGCGTGCTATTAGAACGCGCCCCAAAGGTGGGACACCCCCTTTGAATGTGTTTGAAAACATCCCATACCAGGTATGAAATATGGCAAAGCTATAATTTCGCCCTTGCAACTCACTAAGGTGTCAAAATGTTTGCGCACTAAATTCTACGAAAGCTTCAAACAGGCAGCAAAATGGCAAAATCGAGTAATAGGTAAATGACCCGACTTGTTTTGGATTCTGCTCCAGTCAATAATGCCCTCTTTGTCGCTGATGGGCACTTTGGGCACCATGTGGTCGTTTATGGGCACATCACCGGATTTAGCCC